TATAAAATTAATCACATATTCAATCATCGCCATAGCCGGAATTTGTAGATTATTTTTGGATTGGGAAACAAGTCGACTCCACTGGCAAAAGCCATTAGATGGAAATACAGACTTTACAGCATATACTACTTCAATTTTACTGGTAAATATGCATTCATTTTTGAAGTAATTATAATACATAATGAAATATATTAAAAGGGTATCGTTCATTTTTAGATTATGTTTAGCTATGAAGGATGGAATAATTGAAATTGTAAGTCATTGAAATTAATCATTATTTATTAATAATTACCTAGTAACAAGTTAAATGTTTTTTTTGTAGACTCGTTGAATGAGTTTAAGAATGTGGAAAAGGATCTTTTCTACAGCAATAGTATCAGCGTTGTAATTGTTACATTATTGTGTATGTATATCAAGTTGGTTAAAATTAGTCTCCATGTTTGATACTAAAAATAAAAAAAAAATTTTAAATTATAGACCTTCTTGTAAATATTGCATTTATATCGGTCGTACCATTACAAGATTCCTTAAATGACGAAAGATTGGATCAAACTATAGCTGCAACTTTCTTTAATAAATTATTTGATGAAAATGAGACGATAGTTAGAATTTTTACTTTTCTAATCGTACTTTTCTGTGATTGGCACTGCTGCATCAAATGTGTGGAGGTAAGTAATTGGGTTGTAATTAACTTTTATTTTATTTTAATAGTTTTTACTATTACCAATTTTGAATTATTTTCATCATTTTCAATGTATAGTTATTGGATTTTTTATTTGGCCACCGGAATAGGATTATTGATAATTCGAACTAGAGAGTACAAAAAATTACAGAATAAACAAAGATATGATAGTGATAAAGAAAAGATTATAAGTAAAGTTTGGAACAATAAGGCTGTCGATAAAAAGAAAGAAAAATTATATAAAGTTCCATTATTTATAACTATAATTTTTATTTTGTCAGGATTCTATATTCTGATATTTTCTTTTGTTATTCACGTTAAATGCCCTGAATCTATAGCACCTGAATCAATTGAATGTAGTAAATATTTAACAACACAAAGAGTTCAACAAATGGCACCATTTCTTATTAGTTACGGATCTCTTTTTATTGCTTTAATATTTTGGTATCATTATTGGTGGAAAGCTACGAAAGATGAAATTAATGGAAATATATAATGTAAGGAAATCAGAGTAGCAATAAAATTTTATAAATGATTCTTGAATCTGGTAATATTATTAATTATTTTTATATATATTAATTATAATTAACTTTTTATTTTCAAGAAAAATTTACAACTTGTATGTAATAAAAAAAAAAAGAAAGAAATGTATTTATATATACACAACTCTTCTACAAAATTCACTAGATAAATCTAAATGCACGAAAAAACGTACCAACGTTCAACATTATCGGGAAATTTTTTTTTTTTTTTTTTTTTTTTTTTTTATAAAAAATTATTGAAAACCTACCTAGATGTATAATGGTGTTTATATTCAATGAATAAATATCATAATATATATGTCGAAAGAAATTTTCAAGCTTTTGTTGATTGTGTATATTTGATATTTTGAATTACTTTATCTTGTTTAATGCTAAAGAAGTTTCAATAATAACCTTAGAATTTGAGATATAGATTATGACCACATTCAAAAATAATAAAGATTATTGAACCCTTAACATGTTGATTGAATTCATTCATTGACGTGAAGGGAGGTATAGAACACATTTACTTTAAACTATTTCAAAAAAATAAATCATTCTTACTTTACTGTCTGATAAAAATTAATTTCTTGTACATTGGAAATTGCAAAAAAGTTCATTAAAATTGTTTAGGCTCTGTGTCAGATGATTCAAAATATAAATGTATCTCGGTTGCTGCTTTTCAATGGGTCTCATAAAAGAAAGTGTTTACGCTTTAGAAAATATGAAATTCTTTAGACCGATTGATGATCATAAAAATTAAACTAGGAACGAAAATAGAATTAATTTTGGAACAGACCGGTCCAAGAACTGCATCTTCAACAGCTACCTATAATCATTCAGAAACGATCTTTCCTCTAAAAATTAAGTCGAAGTCATGAATAGAACCTAATGAAGTAGGCAGATCTTGTATTGAATTTATTTTTGCTTCACCATGCGTGTCACCAAAAATGCAATTACTACAAGTAAGAATTTTCGCTATCATGTAATTCACAATTGTAATCGTTATCCAAGCAAAAAAATTTTGCTAGTTTTAAAATAAAATTACCCTTATTTAACTATGTGCGCGCACACGCAAAAAAATTTAAGTTCAATAATAAGTAATTGAGGACGAAGGATCTACAAAAAAAAAAAAAAATAATGCCTAAACCGAAAACCGCGGGAACAAACCGAAAAAATGACAATCATATAATTTAAGGAAAGTAAAAAAAAGTATTCGTTAAAAATTTTTTTTGCATGACCTACAGTTAAATTATTTACAAATTATGTTAGAAAAAAAGAGACTTATACAACAATATATGAAAATAATTAAAATAATTAGGAATGTTAAGCGTCCCAATAAATTTGCCAGTTCTAGAGAAGATTTTTATCTTACTGACATTATATTTTGCTTTCTATAAATGGAATTTATTTAAAATAAATAATAACTTATTCGGAATTCCAGTATCTTTATTGTTGAAATTTAGGACTTAACGATCCGATGAGGGTTGTTGAAAAATTTATTCTTATAACAATTTTTAACAAGAATTACTTATTAACAGATAAGCGATTAGACTTTTCTATAACGAGAAATTTCTAAATTTGTTCAAAAACATTTGGGACCGTTAACATCATAATAAAATAATTTTATTGATATTTATAATTTAATCTTGGTCCTTCATTATTCCATTTCTCAATTTCTATCTACGTTTCCTGTGCGATTTCCTAGGTACTTCTCCACCAATAATACCAAGATATTAAAGCAATAAAAAGAGATCCGTAACTAATAAGTAATGGTGCCATTTGTTGAACTCTTTGTTCTTTTAAATATTTACTACATTCGTCTGAAGCAGGCGGTAAAATATTTGGACATTGAACGTTAATAACAAAGGAAAATATAAGTATATATAAACCTGCTAATATAAAAATTCCAGCAATAGGTAATGGAACTTTATATAATCTATTTTCATTTCCGTCGTAATTATTTCCTTGATCATGTAAATTGTCCCTTCCGTCGCTATTAATTGAATTAATTTCTTGATCATTTCGTTCTCTGTGTCGAATTACATATAACCCTATACCAGTAACAACGTAAAAAATCCATTTACTATACATCGAAAACGATGAAAATAATTCAAAATTGGTAATAGTAAAACTACTGCCAACAAACAATATAATTAATGAACACCAAATGAACTGTGCTAATAAAGCATTAACCGGTGTGTAGCGATCTTTATGCCATTCTCTTAAAAGGTGCGAATATTCCAAAAAAAAGCCTGATCTTGCTGTTGCAACGATAACCCTTGATCCACTATTAAAAATATATATATAGTAAAAAGATGTTATATTTAAATTAACAAGTAAAATTACATGGCAACTAATTACTCACCTCCAAACATCTGATGCAGCAGTGCCAATTACAGAAAGCACAATTAGAAATGTGAAAATTCTAACTATTATTTCATTTCCACCAAATA